AGCGGAGGAGGAAGAAGAGGAGGAGGGCGAGGAGGTGGGGGAGGAGGAGGAGGGCGAGACGGAGGAGGAGGAGGAGGAGGAGGAGGAGGAGGACGAGGGCGAAGAGGAGAGGGGCAGCGGCAACCGCGCGTGGACATCGGGCCGCTGTGCGCGGCAACGCGCGCGGAGGGCTGGCGGCCCTTCTGCGACGACCGCGGCGCAGAGAGACGGAGCGCCGTGCGATCCGCTAGGGAACGCCCGGCAAGGAGAGAGAAAACACACCTCGCGCAGACGCGAGGCCTCCGGGCCCAGAGGGGAGGAGGAGGAGCAGGGGCATGCGCCCACGCGCACACACGTATGCGCACAGACGCAGACACGCAGACACACACAGACACACACACAGGCACACAGGCACACAGACACACAGACACACAAACACACGCACACACACACACACACACACACACGCACAAACACACGCGTCCACAGACAAAACAGGCGCACATACACACAGATTTGTCCTCGGGTGTGGGAGCGTGAACAATGCTGGGAGAGACGGTGCAGTCAAATGCACGGACAAGTGCACACACGCGCGCACACGCAAACAAACACACACACACACACAAAAAAAAAACACACTGTTATGCGGCGTTGGATGATCAGCCAGTGGAGCACCCACCAGACGCGGCAACACCCATGCACGCACATTTGTCCTCCAGCGGCGAAGTTGAGGCACCGCCGCGAGCGTGCAGCAATGCACTGCGGAGAGGCGCGTACAATCGTTTTTATCCGCAGCTGGGCTGTAAGGGTCCCGCGTGGAAGCTAGAGGCTCAGCAGCAGAGCGCCTCGAGCCGATGGCAGCGAGGGCGAAACGCTAGACGCTACCCGCGCCGACGTGCCTGCTCTGATTCCTTGATTTGAGTCGTCTACTCTATTTGGAGTCAACGCTGGCTGTTTTAGTATAGACTCACTCTTCTCTCTCTCTCTCTCACGTACGTTGTCCTCCGCGGGCGGCCGACGTCGCTGTCTCGAGAGCACAAGTGGACCGCACAAAGGCGCAGCTGCACCCAGCATCCAAACGCACACAGCCACACGCATAGACACAACCACAGACACACGCACACAGACACAATCACACACACACACACACACGCATACACACACACGGCACCCACACAAACTAAATTCCAAGTTTGACAACCAAAACGACATCTTCTACTCAGAATGAAGACCCTTCTTAGCTCGGACTGTTAGGAACAAAACGTCCAACAACGTTGCCCACTTTGACCCTCGAGCCTCGGTCCTCGACGACGACGATGCCGACGGTGGCAACGACGATGACGACGACAGCGGCGGCGGCGGCGACGCCCAACGTAATTTCGCGCAGGATCAGTGCTCGGACCGCTCCCGAGGTGCATCCTGGACGAAAAAATGGCAGAGTTTGTGTGCCAGCGCATTTTCTTTTGCGGCGTTGGGCGCCCTGGCGCGGACGGCCGAACGACCCCTGCAGCGGGACACCCTGCCCACGCGGTCGGCGCCGCAAAAACTGCGCGTTCAACGCGGGCGCCGCGCAAAGGACGTACCGAAAGGCCCCCAGCTGTGGCGAGGAAACCCCTCCAGAAGCGCCAGAAGACCTGCGACGCGACGATGCCGACGGCACACCGACGACGACGACGCCGCTGGCGACGACGACGACGCCGCCGGCACGCGGACCTCTCGCCGGGAGCGCTCTGGCCAACGCGCTGGGGGGAACCCACCGGTGGCCACGCGAGGCGCTGCCCCCTGCTCCTCCTCCACCTCCTCCTCCTCCTCCTCCCCCTGCTCCTCCTGCTCCTCCTCCTGCTCCTCCTCCTGCTCCTCCTCCTCCTCCTCCTCCTCCTCCTCCTCCACCTCCTCCCCCTCCCCCTCCCCCTCCTCCTCCTCCTCCCTCCCCCTCCTCCTCCCGGGGGGACAGGCTCGGGGGGGGGGGGGGGCATTCATCGACCCCCAATCGCCCGTTCATCTCCGACAGTAGTGAAACGCAGCAGAAGGACGGCAAGGGCAAGCTTGACGTCGGGCCTGTCCACCTACAGGGGGATTCTGGGCGAGAAATAGAAAAATACTCAAAGAACACCCCCAAATGGTCAAAAAATACTCAAAAAATAGTCCCCACACTATTTTTTTGACTATGTTGGAATATTCCCCCTGTAGAGGGACAGGCCCGACTTCAGGCAAGCTACAGAATTCGGCCTGACCTGAGGAAGGATAAATAAGGAACGAAGCTCCTCTATTTCCCAAGCAAGTCTAGGAAGTCCGAAGGAACACCAGGGGGGCTCGCCGCCAACAAGGTAGCGGAGCGCATGCACACCGAGCCCCTGTTGAAAAGCAGGCGTTCCTTATTCAAGCTGGACCCTGTAGGGGAGAAAGATCGACCTGACGTCGACGATACATCGCAGACAGATCGGCGAGAGGCCCCCGATGGCACGTCCCCGCGTTCCTCGATGGAGTGCGGCTATCAGAACCCTATCGGCGATCAATGGGCGATTGGGGGTCGATGCGTCCCATCCCCCCCTTAACCTTATCCCCCCTAACGTTGCCCCTAACCTTCCACTCCGTGGTTTTCGGGCCATACCTCGGGCATCTGGCGGCCGTTCGGGACGGTCCAGGCGCCACCGGAGCGCTCTCGAAGAGGCGCAGCCGCTGGAAGGCACCCCGAGGCTGGAACACCGCCGAGAATCCAGGAAGACACCCGAACAACTCAAGCCTCGAACCTTGTCGGACCTCGATGCATCCCCCCCTGTGCCTATTCACCCCCACTGCCTTTGTTGGCGGCGCAAACACGGGGGTAGGGGAAGGGAAGGGGGGAAGGCTTCCTAGAAGGCGTCGGCCCTACATCTATAGATAGGGCCCGCGCCTTCCAAGAAGCAGGAGTCCTTCTGGGAAGCCTAACCCTCTGCTTCAAATAGGGAAAACACAAAGGACGTACGCGCCCAAACACGCACGATCGTTGTACCTAACTGCAGTCGACATGTCTAGTAAGGACGGGCGGTAAAGAAGCAAGGGACTTGCACGCCGAAATGGGCACTCTTTGGGCAGCGGACTGCCAACGCCCTGAAGTGCTGCCCAATGAGCACCCCGCAGGACGGGCCTCAGAGGCAAGGACGCAAAGGCACCCTGAGGACATCCGTTGGTCCTTCGTATAACAGGGCAACAAAAAGTGGCATTAACACAACAACTCGGAGGTCCGCGCGGATTTCTCGGATAGGCGCTGGGACCCCACGGCGGCGCCTCAGGCGCCGCCCCTGGCGCGCTCCGCGCGCCAGGGAGGGGGGTCCAGCGCCGATCCGAGAAATCCGCGCGGACCTCCGAGTTTTTGTGTGTTTGTCACTTACTGCTCCCCTCTATAAACTTCGACTCTCTGACCTCACATCCTCGAACCGCGATCGATCACGACGCGGGCGAACGGCCGCCCCCCCCCCCCCGGCAGACGCGGGCGCGCGGGCGCCTTGCCGCCGCGCGCCCTGCCCGCGACGAAGGCCCCCGAGCCCCTGGCCGGCGCGCACCCCCCCGGGCCCGCGGGCGCGCCGCGGGGGGCGCCGAGGATCCCCGGTGCTCGTGCGCATAAAGTCGGCGCGCACAACGGGGCTGCGCGGTGAGAATTCGGCGGCGAGCGAGGGGGGGGGAGGAGGAGGAGGAGGAGGAGGAGGAGGAGGAGGAGGAGGAGGGAGGAGAGGAGGAGGAGGGAAGGAGAGGGGAGGAGGAGGAGGAGGAGGAGGAGGAGGAGGAGGAGGAGGGAGGAGGAGGAGGAGGAGGAGGAGGCGAGGAGGAGAGGAGGAGGAGGAGGAGGGAGGAGGAGAGGAGGAGGGGAGGAGGAGGAGGAGGCGGAGGAGGAGGAGAGGGAGGAGGAGGAGGAGGAGGGGGAGGAGGAAGAGGAGGAGGAGGGGGGGGGCTCTTAGGCGCCCTCCTGCGAGGAGCGAGGGGGGGGGGAGGGGGGGAATTTCGGGCTCGAAGCTCGAGGCCTTCGGGCGTTCTCGCCGGTCTTCGACGGGCTTCCGGACCTGGATCTGCTTTCTATAGCGGCCGCGCCTCGGCGAGAGCGTGCCCGGGGTGCCGGGATCGTCCCGAGCTTGGATGGCCGCGGCGGTTGCTAAGTACTTAACATACTTACTACGCTAAGTTAAGTACTTAGTAAGTAGTTAGCGGACTTAGCTAAGTACTTACTCAGTCATTACTAAGTGGCCCACTTAGTAATGACTTAGTAAGTACTTAGCTATCCACTTATAACCAGTTAGCTAAGTGCTTAGCGCACTTAGCTAACCACTTATAACCGCTTATAGCTAGTTTGCTAAGTAGGTTATAAGTGACTTAGCGGTTACATTGCACTTGTTATCCAAGGGCCATGCACAGGGAAAAAAGGTAAATCCACGTCTTGAAAGAGCTGAGTTTGTTCGTTGAGCGCTGCAGCGCTACAAATTTTGCATTTTGATTTGGAGTCGGTGTCCTGGATTTTTGCTTTAAATATGAGAAGCGCTGCAGCGCTGCCTTCGGATATATATATATATATATATATGAACATGAAGCGCTGCGTGCGCTGAAGATGAAGCGTTGCAGCGCTGAGTGTTGAGTTAAATGCATGTTTTCTAGTTGCACGTTGTTCGGATCTTCATTTTCGCCCAGCTCCGTTTGCAAGGAATTTGAATGCACATGTCAATTATGGTTTGTTGTATTCGTTGTTTTTCAATGGTCGCATTGAGCGCTGCAGCGCTCCAAACTTGATAGCACGCATGTTACTTTGCGCTGCAGCGCAAAAAAATGGTTGTCGTCGTGATGTCGCATCGCGCTGCAGCGCGTGCGCGCTCGTGCTTCATGGGCCTCGGGCTGCAGCCCAGATCAACATTTTTGCTCGCAAGTTGCATGTCCATGCAAGTCGATGTTCACGCGCACGCCGCGCGACAGCTTGTCTCAAGCTGCGGCCGCGCGCCGCATCCGCCGTCGCGCCCGCGGGCTCGCACGTTGCATTCGGCGCTATATATAGCGCTGGCATGGCGCTGCAGGCGCGTCAGGAGGAGCAGATCTTGCAGTACATCGAGGAAAGCAATTCCTCGGGGAGGTTGGCATCGGGGTGGGATCAACTGAAGGAGTTCCTGCTGGCGGAGGGGCTAGCGTATTACCAGCAGGTCCCACCGAACCAGATGGGCATCGACATTCGGAACCGCAGCGGTTCGTTAGTGAACCCTGCGCGGGCTCACAATTTAGGCGCGAAGATTTGCGCCCAGGGCTTCGTCTTGGCCAAGACGGCTGCAGCCACTGCCTTCGAGGCCCCGCAGGGGGCGCAGTTGGAAGAGACCGCGATGGCGAACGACCGCCTTTCGCGGCTCAGCGGGGGTCGGTGCCCCCCGCTGGACTCATTGCGGTATACGTCAGTGGGCGGCTCCCACACGAACGTCTTCCTCCGCTGCGTGCTGGCCAAGGCGCCGACCACAGTGAAGGCGCTGGCAGACTCTCGGGACAACATCGACTCCGAAAAGCTGTGCGCGTTGCATCCGCAACTTGCGACGGCAGTCAAAAAGGGCCTGACGTGGTTGATCATCAAGCACGCGGTGGCCAAAGTGAAGGGCCTGAAGAACTTCGTGCAGAGGGCTTTGAACGCCGACGTCAGGGAGGCGGTTCACGAGACCGGGATCATTCGGTCAGGCTGCAGCCTATCCCCACTATAGTATATAGCGGTATGTAGTAAGGACCAGGATGATGCACGAAGAGGGTGATGAGTGGGAGCGCGTTGGGGAGGAGGTGAGAACGAGGAGCAGGAGCATTATATCTTACAGTGCTGCAGCACTTGATCGGCTCGGCGCTTGCTGCAGGCAGGTGGGCGGATGCTCTTGGCACACAGCCTCGCTGAGGGTTCCAGCAAGCCCGATTGGCGCGACATCGCCGAGCAAGCGGGCCACGCGAACCCACCTTGCAAGGCGTGGATCGCTGACTTGTGCAAGTTTGTTGAGCTCGGGCCACAAAACGGAGAACTTCTCCGTGAAATAGATGAAGCCCTCAAGACCTTCACGAATGTGGACGTCTCGGGGCAAACTTTGATGTGCGGCTCTGAATTCTGGCGCAAGTTGAATTCGATTAAATGGGGGAAGCACCAGGAGTCGCACCCGTATGTCGTAGCGGCGCTCGTGAAGGCCAACTATTCAGGCGAGCACGTGGTGGATAGCATGTGCAGGACCATCCATAAGCTTGTCGGCGCCCCCTTGTAGTGACATGCGCTGCAGCGCATCTATGCATTGCGCTGCATTGTTAGAACTGCGTACCCACCCCTCCCCCCTCCCCACACACACACACGCACCGTTACATTGCTTTATTCCCAAACGCAATCGCTGAAGCGATGGGCGGATCAAGGCAAACGAGATCGTCCACGTCGCGTCCCGCAAGGCGGACGTGGCTGCGGCCGACAACCTCATGGCCGACGCAAGGTCGCTCGTGAAGAGGTTGGATATCGGAGCGGAGCAGGGCTTCTTGCACATCACAAAGTTGGATGTCCGCTGTGCCATGTACCTGGTGAAGAAGCGAGCGCCAGGAGACCGCGCTTTCGGATGCGTAGCAGATATAGCACAGGTATCTTCTCACGCCACCTTTCGTGTGCTCATTGTTTCCCTCCCTCCCTGCTTTTCGCCATTCAATGTCGCTGCAGCGACCCTCCAGAGAGGTCTTCCTCCATGAGCTCGGGGAGCCAGCCCAGCTGCAGATGAAGAGCTTGGGGATCGAGTTCGGCAAGGCGGTGCAGACCGACAAGCAAGGCGATGGCGCACCCGAGTTCCCAGCGAGCGCCGATGCAGACGCGCCGCGCGCGGCAGCGTCGTCGGCCGCTGAGTTGAAGAGCAACGTCTTCCGCATGCGGCGTGCAGGGTTCGACGTGGGGAAGCACATCGTCCAGAAGAAGGAGGTGGATGACGTCTTCGAGGTGCTCTCCATCTCGGAGAATGGGATCACCGCTCAGAAGAAGTTGCACGGCGACCTGGTGGGCGAAGAGATCTCCATTGCGCGGCTGCAGCCACCCCGCCGCCCGTGCAGGGAGCAGGGAGGGGGGAGGAGGAGGTAGTAACTGCGATATTGTATTTCCTGTACTTAAGTTGCAATGGGTTGGTCGATGCGCTGCAGCGCACGGAGCAGTTAGCCGAGCGGGCGGATTGAAGTAAACATATTGCTCGAGAATTACAAGTTGACGTCCAGGGTGCAGGAGCAGTTGCCGTTCACGAAGGAGCACTTGCCGCCAGCCCACGAGGGTTGGGCGATGGACGCGTTCAAGGGGGCATGCAACATGGCGCTGCGGCTCCAAGCGCTGAAGTACCAGGCGAACATTTTGCACTTGGAGATCCTGCAGGACCCACCTGCCGCGCGCTGCAAGCGAGCGTTCAAAGTGGGTGAGCTCGTCAGACTTGTGCTTCCGCAATCGTCCGCGCCCCCCTCCGACGACGCCGCGCTGCAGCGCTGCGCTGAGCACGAGGTAGCGAGGATTTCGGGGCACGTCAGGCCGTAGCGACGAGGTCAGTGATGTTACCGACTGCGCGCCATGTAGCTCCACGCGGTGGGGGTGGTCGCATTTCAGCCTCGTCCACGCGGGTCAGCACGGGCTGCGTTGCGGAGAGCATCTCGTTGGGGAAGGTTGGCCTCTACGAGTTCTTCGTGGGCCCGCAGTTCGCAGGGCCCCCCGCTGAGGGGTCGCGGGGCCCCGACGCCTTTGTCAGCCCCTTCTGGGTGGTGGCAAAGTCCGACTCAGAGCCCAACATGGAGCTCCGAAAGGAGACCGTGACGTTCGGGACAGGCGTCAACAAGGTGCAGGTGGGGGTGCCCCAGATGCATAACACTTGCGCCCTGTCCGCGGGCGACTTCCTGGCGGTGAAGCCGTGGCCGCGGCTGCAGCCGCGGCCAGCCAAGAAGCTCGGGACGGCCTGAGCTGGCGATATAGAGGGACCACGCGGGAGGATGAGGCAGGAGGGAGGGGTGATGCGGAGGAGGGAGGAGGAGGCAGGGTAAGGTTTGGCATAGGGAGGAGGATGAGGGGGCTTAAGGAGCGGCGAGCGCACATGACGGCACCGAGCGTGGCCCTCCGATTGGTGTAAACAGTGTGCGGGTTGGTGCGAAGTGCGATACTTGCCGCGGCGCTGCAGCGCGCGGAGCGATTCGTTGCGCCAGCATCGTCGCTGCAGCGACTGTACAATATTGGTGCTGACATCAGCCTTTCCCACAGACATGCCGCTGCAGCGGCTTCGTCATCACTGTTGTGCTCGATGTGATCGTTGCTCTTCGCTTCATCTTTCACATGCGCTGCAGCGCACCTCATCATGAGCACCTCGTCCGCGCACATGTTGCCTCATCACTCCATCGCAGCAATTTTGGCGCTGAAGTGCGACCGCGCTCGGGCTGCAGCCTCGGCGCGCCGCGCGCGCGATGGCGACGATCAAGCGCGACTGCGTCGTGTTGCACGACAACCGTACGGGGCGCGAGCTGGTCGCGGCCGTCGAGGTCATCGGAGACCGCGAGTGTATCACCGTGACCACCGCAGGTTGGAGCAAGTGGGTGTGCGGCAAGGCTCAGGGCTTGCGAGGCACGATGTTCCTAACGTGGCTGAAAAATCAGCGCACCGCGTCGTCGGGGCCAACGGCGCCGACGACGCTCTTCGCTGCAGCGGAGCCAGGCCGCCGCCCGACCACGCGGTCCGGCCGCGCCAGTCGCCAGGTTCCAGTGGACAAGTGCTTCAAGACAGCGCAGCTGCCGCCGTTTGGCGATACTGAGGCAACAGAGCTGCAGATTGTCATTCCCCCACCTCATAGGGGGGGGAGGGACAAGCTGCAGGTGGTGCTGCACGAGAAGGGCGTAGAGTACATCAAGGCCAAATTGCTTCAGGAGGCGGCGGAGGCGGCAGAGGCGAGCACGGTGCTGAAGCGCCCGCGGCGCCACGAGACCGACGTTCCTTGCGGCACCCGCATCTATTGGGTGCAGCGGCTCCAAGCTTGGCGGGCCGTCCGCACAGACTGCGGTTGCAGCAGGACGGCCTTGTTCCGCACAAACCGCGGCTGCAGCAAGGATGACGCTGAAGCGGCCGCGGCGAAGTGGCGCACCGCCGAACTCAAGGATTGCGAAGCGGATGAGCTCCAGGAGATGGAAGCGGAGGCGGAGGGCGATGCGGAGGAGGAGGAGGCCGACTCGGACTGAGCTGCGGCGCGCTCGGTCGACCGCATCGCTGGGGCGCGCGATCACGGTCGGCAGTGCGATTGAGAATGGCAGCGAGGAGGACGAGCACGAGGACGAGGGCGAGGAGGAGAAGGAAGAGGAGGATTGGGATAATAATTGCGGATTGTTGGTGGATCCCCCCAATGTTCGCTACTGTTGGTGTCATTGCGAATCGTTGGTATGATCAAGCGTGCTGCAGCACGACGACACTACGATCAAGTGTGCCTCTCACGCGTTGCCGCCGTCGATGTGTGACCTCACGGCGCTGCAGCGCTGACTTGCGTTTCGTGTGTTTGGAGTCCATCGTGCTGCAGCGCTGATTTACGTTCGGGTGTCTGGCGTGCCGATATCAGATTTTTGCGTCGCGCTGCAGCGCTGACTTACATGTTGTGTGTCTGGCGTGTTGATGTAGCGCTTCGATCGCGCTTGCAGCCCGCATGTTCGCTTTATGTTATTGCATGTGGTTCGCAGCCACCTGTGATCAGAACATCAATGGCTGCCAACATGAGTGCAGCGACGCCGCCATGGCGGCTTCCCTCGGAGCCAGTGCCGCCGCCGAAGGCGAAGTCCGCTGCATCGGATGCGACATATGCGGCTACTCCCCCTCCTCCGCCGCCGCCGCCGCCACCGCCGCCTCCGACGTCGACGAGGACCGCGGCTGCAGCCGCCAGTGATGTGCCAGCCCCGCGCGCGGCTGCAGCCGCGCGCAAGCGCGATGCTGATACCAAGGTTGGCACGTGGAAGCTTGTGTGCGACATGATTCGGGAAGCGCTTCAGCGCGGGGACCGCGAGGCAGCGTTTGCGCTGGCAGTCCAATACCACGTCGCGAAGAAGCCGCGGAAGTGACGGGCGCGCGGCGCGCGCGCGGTCAGTGCTGCAGCACCACTGCTTCAGTCGGATACAGCATCGCGACGGCGGCGACGGCGACAGAGACAACAACGACGGCGTTAAAGACGACGTAATTCAGAGCAGTGCATGCAGGAGAAGAAGGTGGATGGAGGATGATGATGAGGAGGAGGAGGGTGATCAGGAGGACGACGACATTGAGGACGACGTTCTGGAACGCCCTCATTTTCACAGGTTCCCACCGCTCGCTGCCAGCACCTCGGAGCAGGGGAAGGGGGAGCAGGATGATGATGATGATGAGGAGGAGGAGGAGGAGAAGGAGGCCGAGGACGAGGAGTATGACGAGGAGGAGGAGGAGGAAGACAACCAGTTGGCACCCATGCCCCGCCCCCCCGATCCTTCTGCCTATTCCTGCCTCCGCATACTCCCTCTCCTCCTCCTCCTCCTCCTCCTCCTCCTCATCATCCTCCCTCTCATTCTCCTACTCCTCCTTCTCCTCCTCCTTCTCCTCCTCCTCCCTCTCCTTCTTCTCCTCCTCATCAGTGTCCTCCTCCTCCTCCTCCTCCTTCTCCTGCCCCCCCTCCTCCCCCCCCTCCTCCTCTCCCTCCAATCCTCCTCCTCCCCCTCATCCTCCTCCCCCTCCTCCTCCTATCCTGAGGGGGCAGCCCTGGGGAGGTCAATCCAGTCGTTGGCCTTCGGAGGTTCAGTTGGGGGTGATGTTACCTTGCGGGGTGATGTTACTTTGGGGGGTCAGCCGATTGGTTAGCAGGGGTCCATCGTCGTCAGCGTCGTCGTCATCGTATTCGTCGTTGGCACCGCCGCTGTTTTTGTTCCGTGCAGCTGCAGCTGCAGCTTCGCGCGCTGCAGCGTCGCGCGCCCGCGCGCCCGAGTGCAGCTTCAGCTGCAGTGATGGGACTGTTTTCCACCGCCACTATACCATATGTTGGAGAAGGAGGAGGAGGAGAAAGAAGAGGAGGAGGAGGACCTCTCCCTCCAACTTATGGTACTGGTGGTGGAAACCAAGCCCATCATGCAGCTTGGCGAGCTGCAGCCTCGCTGCAGCGATGGCGTCGCTCGAGGAGTTCGACAGCTACGACGAGGACTTCGAGGAGTTCGACAGCGACGACGGCGGCGTCGGCCGCATGCGGCCGACGCCGCCTGCGGCGCCGCCGCCAGGCGCGCTGCTCGCGGCCGCGGCCGCGGCCAAGGCGCGGCCGCGGCCGTCGCGCGCCGCCCCGCATGGCAGCGTCGGCCGCGCCTTGGGCAAGGACAAGGACAAGGACAAGGACAACGTCGGCGGCCCACCTTGCGCCTTGGGCAAGGGCAAGGACAAGGACAAGGACGTCGGCGGCCCACCTTGCAGAAAGGGCAACGGCAAGGACAAGGACAAGGACGTCGGCGGCCCACCTTGCAAGGGCAAGGGCAAGGACAAGGACAAGGACGGCGGCGGCCCACCTTGCAAGGGCAAGGGCAAGGACAAGAGCAAGGGCGGCAAACTTGTCCAAGGGCAAGGGCAAGGGCAAGGGCGGCGGGGCGGCTGGTTCAACAGGGCGCAGCAGCTCTGCGAGCTGCTGCTGGCGGGCGAGTACGCCGACGCCGCCGCCCTGGCCGAGGAGTACTACGCTGGCCCAGCAGAGGTCTGGGTCGGCCAGGGCGGCGGCGTCGGCGAGGAGGCCGCCGAGGAGGCGCAGGTGCCGAGGGGCGCCCCATGAGGAGGGAGGAGGCCGCGGATGAGGCCGCGGAGGCGGAGGCGCTCGGCGGCGGAGGCGGAGGCCGCGGAGGCGGAGACGCCCTCGGCGCTGCAGCGCCCACATGAGAGCCGCGGCGCGCCACCGCGGGGCATGGGGGGCCGCCGCGGAGCATTCCACTACATGGGCGACGGAATGGGACGGTAACTCAGTAGAGGTAGACAGGGGGAGAGGGGGGACTATAGTAGAGGTAGACAGGGGGGAGACGCGATATACATAGGGAATGCGAGGGGGACGGTGGAGACGCAGCGTGGGGGTGGAGTGAAGACACATTGGAGAGAGACGGTAGACAGGATGCCCGCTGCAGCGGGTATCCACTCTCCCGTGGGCGAGGGGGACAACGAACGCATAGTGATAGGATACATGCTGTAGCAACCCAACATGTAAGACCAATGGGAGCAATGGGGGGGGGGTGGATTGGATCAGTTCGCGAGCATAGCCTGCCGACGCATGCATGTGTTTTAGGCCAGGTTATATTTCGTGCGCCAGATCGCGTGGTGCGCCCGCGCTGTCGCCCAGAAAGGCGCTCCGATATCCTCATCACATCTATCTGCCATCGTCGACGTTCACATCCGGATCCGCTGACAATTTTTTGGTATGGACTGATGTGCCAGGGGTCGGCCTTGGATTGGCCAGGAAAGTTTGGGGGCACTTGGGGGGGTCCTGGGGCACTTCAGATGGCAAACAGTCTCGCATCGCATCGCCCTTCGCCACTCTCCCTGCTCCCCTTCAGCACAGTTCGTTGCGCCGCCGAGTAGCTCCCCCCATGGCCTCCTGGCAGCCTCACCAGCTCCCATCAGCCTTGTCCTCAGCAGTCTCGAGCCATCGCGACGCTGCTGCAGCAGAGCCGTGAGCGTAAATCTTTGCAGTTGACAGCGGTGTCGGCATCGTCAACCTCGTCGCGACGCTGCTGCAGCAGCGCCGCGTGATGTACTTCGCGCCTCTCTTAGTTTCACTCCCACCTCGAAATCAGCAGTGTGGACAGTGTTCTGGGACTGCGTGGGTGGGCGTTGGGGTGGGCTGGAGTGCTGGACGTTGGCATCAGGATGGCTGAGCTGAGGTCGAACGGGAGCTTCGGGTGAAGCGATCTGAGAGCGTCGGTGCCCCTCTGCAGAGGTGATGCTGTCT